TCCCTGGTTCCTCCATCCGCTGCAGCGTCACCAGGTCCAGGGCTAAGGTGGCAGGTCATGGTGCCACCTTGTTCTGCATCAATAGGTCAGGTTTGTACCGCATAGAACATGCTTTGAATTACTTGACTATATATTTGCAAAGAAAACCTTATTTTTTTGATGACCAAGGAAGAATCACGGTTGTTTGTTGAATATTGAAGAATCAGGTGAAACCTGTGCATGGTGGCAGGCACATAAAATTCACAAATATTTATATTAAAAGTTAATTATATGGTGACAATTGCAAACTACATGTCCATCAAAAAGGAATTGGTTAATATAAGTTATGATATACCCATACAAATGTTTGGCATTTATTGCCATGGAAGGGTGCCTACATTTACAGCAGAACCTCCATAGCTGACCACCTCCCTACACTGACCATCTCCTTAAGTTGACTTAAATTTCATAGACGAGAAATACATCACATGTACTCAGTGGAAGTTCCTTATATTAACCACCTCTATATGTTGACTGGTTTGTTACAGTTCCTTGGGTGCTCAACTTATAGAGGTTCTACTGTATTGAATTAAAAAGCAGGTTTTAAATTAACATGGATAATTTGATCCTATTTTTTAAAAGGCATAGGGAAAGAAATATACCAACATATCATTAATGGCAATCTCTGGATGATCAAATTACAGTGAATTAGTCTTTAGTTTTTCAAGCTTATACTCTATTGCATTAATCAGAAAGAGGATGAAGAGATTTTGATCAATGGGTTCAAGCATTCATCTAGATAGAAGAAATAAGTTGTAGTGTTTGACAGATCAGTAGAATGACTGCAATTTACAACAATCTAGTGTATATTTCAAAATAACCAGAAGAGAATAATTAGAATGTTTCTAGCATAAAGAAAGACAAATACTTAAGAGGATAGATATACAATTACATAGCTTTGACCTTTACAAATCTATGAATCTGTTCCATTATCACATATACCCTGAATATGTACATCTAATATGTATCAATAATAAATACAATTTAAAAATAATTAGAAAAAGAAAACTAAATCTCAGGAATGGTCACAGGGTGACATGTTAAACAGAGGTATATATGTAGTTTACCATTTGTATTTGTTAGTTTTATAACATAACTTCCCAAAAGTTGATAGTTACAAATATCCAAAAGGAACAAGGAATATATGATGAAAAGTAAGAGTTCTCTTCCTTATGAATCCCCAGAACTCCCTCCACATGTAATTACTGTCAACAAAAATATATATATTGAAAGTAGAAATTGAACACTGAGAGCAAAGACTCACATGGAGAGACCTGAGACAGCTTTGTCTAGAAGCAAATGAAATTCACCGGGCGGATGTTGCCATTGCCACTCTCAGAGAATACCCTCATCACCACACACCTTTCAAATAAGGGAAGTCACTCTCTTTAAACGCTGAACACATGGGTTCCCACAGAGGGTGACACTCAGCCAGGCATGCAAATTAGCACTGGCTCTAAAACCCAAATGAATCAAGTCAGGTTCAAATTTCATAGCACATTTAAGCAGCCAGCAAGGCACAAAGGCAATTGCTCCCTCCCTGCTTTATAAAAAGTTTAATAGCTCACGCCTTCTCATTTGCCATACTTCAGCTTAAAACCTCAAAGAAGAGATAAACTTGCTAAACTGGTGTAGCCCTTCTGTTCTCTAGCACCATCCCATGTTCACATCCGTGGGAGAGAACTTGTTATAATTTGTAAACTTTTATTTATTTGTGTCTGAACCTTGCCCTCCTGCTCTCCCCGGACTGTAACTTCTTGAGGGCAAGAACTATGGGTGTGTAACATTTAAATTAATTTTTATTTAGTTGTTTAGAGCCCCCAGTAGGCACATAATAGCTGTTGAATGAACAAGAGGGGACATTTTACAAGTCCAACTTTGAAAGGAAATTTTGATTTTATCGATGTTTTAGATAATGGCTGACCCTAGAAGGGTAGGTCTGTTTGTGTCTTCACTCTTTCTTTCATAGAATAATCAACAAACTTTCATTAAGAGCTTACTATTTGCCATGCCCTATGGTAGGCACTGGGGCTAGAGGTGCCTTCTGGAGTGCTCAGTATAGCAAAAAAGCCAAAAACAGGAAACTATGATCTAGGGAGATGGAGGCTCTGATAAGGGTAGTACAGGGTTTGGGGGAGCATTGACACAGCTATTTCCTGAGCTTTATGGGAACTGCAGCTGATTTTTTTCTCTGCCCAAGCCGCCCTGTGACATCCATTCAGGCTCAATCACTTCAGACTCCAAATGCCAATTTGCAGTATCTGTAGGTTTGTATAGAACGATCATAATCCACTTTTTAGTGCCTGTGGCTCAAAGGAGTAGGGCACCGGCCCCCATATGCTGGAGGTGGCAGGTTCAAACCCAGCCCAGGCCAAAGACTGCAAAAAAAAAAAAAAAGTAAATTTATTTCAGGTTAATGTGAGGGTACAATCAGGTCAAAATATTTGATTTTGTTAGGTAGAGTCCTTCTTGTGGTCATGTCCCATACACAAAAGGTGTGCCAAATACCCTCACCCCATGCCCGTTCAGTGAGAGCACGCCAAACCCCTCTCCCTACTTCATCACTCCTCCCCCCAACTTGAATTGAAATGAGTTTTTCAATTATATTGGCATGCATCAGATCGACTACTGGCTTCACATTAGTACTGGGTACGTTGGAGAATTGCTTTTCCATTCTTGTAGTGTAAGAGATTGCCACCATAACAAGAAACCAGAGGGTCAGGTTTTTTTTGTCCTATCTCTGCAAAGTAGGGTTTTACAAAGTGTAACCTTTTTCTTTCTTTCTCTTTTTCCTCTATTCTTTCCTCCCCCTTCCTCCTTCTATCTCTCTCACAGCTCAGACACAAGACTCTGAGAAGCAAATGTTTTCTGATTCGATGACTTCAGAGGATTAGGGCTCCTTTGAAAGTGATATTGTCACAGCCATAATGTGTTTATGTATAACACAGACATCTTTATGTATAAGACAGTCGTGTCTGTGTGGGGAATGTTAACATCCTGGCCTTGTCATTTAGTAAGGTAGGAAGTTCAGCCTAGAGCTCTAGATCCCTAAAGCTTTGGGGAATCTTGATATGGGGGAAAGAGGGAACTAGAGAGGAGAGGGGAGATATCTTCAAGGGTTATTTATCTTTTTTTTCTAACTCTCCTGGGCTTAACTCCTACTCTCTGAGAAATAATCCCTTTCCAACATAGCTGGGATGGCTGTCAGGCAGAGGTATCCTTGTTGAGGATAGCACTAATCAAAAAAAGGGTCAGGCAATTAGAAACTGCTGGTAAATCACAGAGACACCACAGTGAGAGTTCCATTTTATAATAACCTGATGCCAAGACATTTATTTCAGACCCCGACACATCATCACAAAAGAAACAAATTAGAGGGAGTATCTTTCCCCATAATTTTCTTGGTGTATCCGAAATATATCATGGAAATTAACCTTTTATTTTAACAATTTAAAAATTCTTTATTGTTCTTTGTAAATAACCCACGCTTGCAGTAACAAAATCAATACAAAAATATATAAAGTAATAAAGTTAAAGCCTAGTCCCTTCTCCCACGTTCCCTAGAGTAGCACGGTCCAATAACACATAACATGAGCCTCCTATCTAATTTAAAATTTTCTAGTAGCCACATCAAAAGAAGTAAAAAGAAACAGGTAAAATTAATTTTAATTATATATTTTATTTAAACCAATGGATCCAAAATATTATATCAACATGTAATCACAATAAATTATTTTTTTGAGTTCTTTTTTTTAGAGACAGAGTCTTACTTTGTTGCCCTCAGTAGAGTGCTATGGCATCACAGCTCACAGCAACCTCTTGGGCATAGATGATTCTCTTGCCTCAGCCTCCTGTGCAGCTGGGACTGCAGGCACCTGCCACAACACCCAGCTATGTTTTTTGTTGTTGTTGCAGTTTGGCTGAGGCTGGGTTTGAACCTGCCACCCTCCCTCGGTATATGGGGCTGGCGCCCTACTCACTGAGTCACAGGCACTGCCTAATAATAATTTATTAATTATCAAATTATTAATGACATAATATTAGTAATGAGATATTTTTCATTTTTTTTATACTCAGTCTTCTACATCTGGTGTATATTTTACACTTACAACACATCTTCTCGGTTTGGATGCTAAAGTTTCATTGGAAATTCTAGATCTGTATTTAGATTTCATAAAACAGAAAGTAGGTACACACACCCAAGTTGTCATAAACATACTTAAGACTTCTCTGATAACTGAGTCAAGTACTGGTTTTTAAATTAAATGTGGAGTAATTAAAATTAAATAAATTAAAGAACCAGTTCTTTAGTCTCACCAGCCTCATTTTGAGTACTCAGTAACTACTTGAGGCTCGCAACTACCCCCACTGAACTATGCAGCTCTACAGGGAGCTTCTCTGAGAAGTTTGATGGGAGATCTTTTTTTCTCTATGTATCTATGTACAAATAAACAGGGTGGCCATAAAGTGTGGGTGCAAAATAAATTGGGCAAACATGATATTACACATATCTGCACTTTATTTCAGAACAGTGAGATCATACTATTTTATTCAATGATCTGATTTTTTCACCCTAAGTTCTATCTTAGATATTTTTCCTTTTATGCATAGGGATCTGATTCTTTATAATGGTCATGTGGCAGATTTATTTAACCTACTAGTGGGCATATAAATTTATTTTGATGTTTTGCAGTTACAAACATCTGGGTTTGCACATGTAGTATCAATAGTATTTCCATAGAATACGTTTCAAGAATGGACACTTCCAGGCCAAAGGGTATGCCCATTAAAATATCTGAAAGCTAATACTAAATTACCATCGCAACAGTTGTGCCAATTTTTATCATACACTCTTTGCTGGTGGTCCTCCCTAGCATCTGCAGATGCTCTAAATGCCAGAATCATAAAATATTGGAAAGAAAAGGCCTCAGAAATGATCTATCCCTGTTGTTTCATCTTAGGGACCAGGAAAGTGAAGCCTAGGCGGAGGGAAGGGGCTACATGCAAGATGTATCTGGGCACAGCTCTGACTCGAGCAGCCCTTCAGGCTCTTGCCCTCTGTCCAGTGTGTGCAGAGCGTCTAGCAGCATCTTCCCAAGGCATTCTCTGGAAGGTCACTCCTCCTCCTGCTCAGCGGGCCTCCCTTCGCTCCCCCTGGATCATTATCAGCCCAGCGCTGGCGAGATCAGCAGGCTTTTCAATGGAGCATCACACCACGCCTCGGTAAGCAAGGAGCACACAGCCAAGGGAGATTTTCCTTGACATTTGTATCCAAAATTGAATTCAGTCTGCTCAAATGCTCGCTACACTTTCAAAGTGTGCCTTTCCTACCTCCCTTCTGCTCGGCACAGCCAAGCCATAGACCTAGGCAAGAAAAAAAAAAGGTACTGTATTTTGTTGCATACAGAAATAACACCTCACTGTTCAGCAATTCTTGGTAGGCCAGCTCGGAAATGCTTTACCTTAATAAGAGTCACTTTGGGAGGGCACAGGGAAAGGGCCCTTCTGGGGCCTCACTCAAGCTGGTGGAATTTTACAGAGTCCATGCACATAAGTGTCATCTCATCTCATGGAATCCTTGCAAGGTAGGCTGAGTAGCCAGCTTACGGGGCTTTTCATGCTCAAATGCTTATTGGTGGCAAAGCCAGGGCTAGAAACCGTATTTCCTGATGTTCTGTCCTTTGACATTTGTATCCAAAATTCAATTCAGTCTGCTCAAATGCTCACTGCACTTTCAAAGTCTCATTTACAGGCATTAAAAATAAAACAAAACAAAAACAAAAAACCAAATCCATCTGTATATGTTACCCATTTATTTTTTAAAAATCAACTCTGACATTTTAATTCTATTTACTTTTCTTTCTCTCTTGACTTGCATCTCCTCCTGTCCAATTACAATGCCTTCTTCAAACAGAAGGGAAGTCTCCACATAGTTTATGCTTCTATACCTGGTGCCTCTTTTTGGTCCTGCTTTTTATTTTTCTGATATATATATATACATTTTTTCTGATATATATATATACATTTTTTCTGACATATATATATACACACACACACACATATATTTATTTATTTATTTATTTATTTATTTTTAGACAGAGCCTCAAGCTGTCCCCCTGGGTAGAGTGCCCTGGCATCACAGCTCACAGCAACCTCCCACTCCTGGGCTCAAGCGAATCTCCTGCCTCAGCCTCCCAAGTAGCTGGGAACACAGGAGCCTGCTACAACACCTGGCTATTTTTTGGTGGTAGTTGTCATTGTGGTTTGGCAGGCCCAGGCTGGATTCAAACCCACCGGCTCTGGTGTTATGTGGCTGGCACCTTAGTCGCTTGAGCTAGAGGCGCCGAGCCTTTTCTGATATATTTTTATTCTAGAAAGAAGGAAAAGAGGGTGAGAGTGAAGGAAGGATGCAGATATGCAAATAAGGAGTTACTTCATATTGCATGAACATGTCATTATAAAATGTCATTATAAGGCTTCTGACTGTGTCATGCTTGGCACATCCCCACCCCTATATGCAAGTGAACAGGCCTTGTTGATTTTTACCTCTGCAATATTTCTCAAGTCCATCCATTTCTTTCCATTGCAACCACCATCAGACTAATTCAATCTTCCCCCAACAGGCTCCTACCAAGTTGCCTCTCCATTGTGTTTCCCACACTATAGACAGAGTGATCAAAAATGGGCTTTTATACCTCATATTAAATCCTGTTGAAAATAATAGTAATGATCATCATCACCATTGTTAAAATTTCTGAGCACTTAGTACATGACAGGCACTATTTTTAATGCTTTTGTGTCTCATCACTTAATCCTCGCAGTATCCCCAGAGGTAGATATTATTATTTATTTATTTATTTTATTCTTATTTTAGAATGGAAGACCTTGAAGCAAAGAGATGTATGTAATTTGCACAAGGACACACTATCACTTTAAGTGATAGAGCCACTTTAAGAACCCAGATCTGGCTCGGCGCCTGTGGCTCAACCGGCTAAGGCGCCAGCCACGTACACCTAAGGTGGCGGGTTCGAATCCCCAGCCCGGGCCCGCCAAACAACAATGACGGCTGCAACCAAAAAATAGCCGGGCGTTGTGGCGAGCGCCTGTGGTCCCAGCTACCTGGGAGGCGGAGGCAGGAGACTCGCTTGAGCCCAGGAGTTGGAGGTTGCTGTGAGCTGTAATGCCAGGGCACTCTGCCCAGGGGGACAGCTTGAGGCTCTGTCTCAAAAAAAAAAAAAAAAAAAAAGAACCCAGATCTACAGGAGTTATCAAAAAATACCCCAGTAATTATCATTTGTGTATATGGCAATGCACGAGGGGTCACAATTAAGTATAAATTGTTGCGCAGACCCTAAAGGACAGCAAGTGAACTGCTTCTCACTGATTGACTGGAGGTAGTGTCCCGATTGCTGGGTTGAGAAGGATTGTGAGGCTGCTGCTGGCTGGGTCCAGTGGGAAACTAGGCTGGATTAATAGGATTGCCTGTTTTAGTCTGGGTCCTAGTTAGAGTGGGGCATGTATTTGCTTTCTGTTGCTGTTGCCACACATAAATAGGAGTAGCTTAAAATGACAGAGATTTATTACCTTACAGTTATGGAGATCGAAGTCCCAAATGGGTTTCATGAGGCTAAAACCAAAGCGTCAGCAGCTTTGCATTTCCTTCTGGCCACACTTGTGGAGAAGCCATTCCTCGCCTTTTCTAGTTCTCCTGAAGCTGCCTGCATTCCCTAGCTCGAGGCCCTTTCCAGCAAGGGCATCCTTCTCACCAGGCCTCTGTTCTCACACCTCTGACTCTGATCCCCCTGCCTCCCTTTTATAAGAACTCTTGTGATTGCCTTGGGCCCACCTGGAAAATTGAGGATAATCTCCTCTTCATAGAATTCTTATTGCAATCACATCTACAAAGTCTTTTACCATGGAAGGTAACATATTCACAGGTTTTAGGGATTAGGAGGCGTATCTTATTATTCTGTGTCTTTTGTTTTCTAAAAACGGTGGTGCCATTATTCTGCCTACCACAGGGGATGACAGCATTGTGCGGTGTGAGTCCTTCCCTGGAACCAGGCTCTAGCTGTGAGCACAGGGACTCTGGTCTTATTTACTTTGGTATCTTTCATGTCTCCCACCAAAGGTGTACAAACCTTTGATGAATGAATAAGTGAAAGAACTAGAAAACAAAAGACACAGAATAATAAGGTGTCTATCTAAGGAGTGCAGGGAAATGCTGCCCTCTTTAACATGGGAATTTGGGGGGAATCTTTTAAAAATCTTAATGGGGGGTTCCACAGTTTGGGCAATGCAAAATTTACGTCAGTAACTGAGATGAATATTAAGCAGATCTCAGTGCAGAAGGAACTTCTCATTTACCAGGTTTTTCTCAATATCATTGTCTTTGAATTGCACCCGAGGGTGGACGTCTGTTAAAGGAGAAGTAGGTAGAATCCACTTACCTTCTACCACAGATGGCGGGAAGGAGGGGTGAGTTACAAGCCCAGGGAAGGGCTTCCTCAGTCTTCCGTGGGGAGAATACTTCTCTGTTCCTAGCTGTCATAGTTGTGCCTGGAGCAACACCACTCAATTCCAGATAGTTGGATCTCCCAGGAGCTCCTCCTTTGCTCCAGATCTAGTTCAAAATTCAAGACATTCACAAAGTCCCCCTGCCACCTCTCCAGCCTCGCCCCTTGTGCCCACCCCACTCCTGTCTCACTGGCCTCCCCCAGAAAATTCACGGCCAACTACCTTCCTGCTCAGAGCCTTTTCACATGCTATTCCGTAATTCTGGAATACTCCTGCCACTTTCTTTTGCCCAATTAATCCTTACTTATTCCTTTGAGGCTTAACTTAAAAATCACATCCTGAAAGATATTTATTTTTTTTTCCTCTCAAATTTAAATCAGCATCCTTCACTCCCCATCCAGGTCATTAAGAAAAAAAAAAGGCATAGTGTCAGGAGCTTGGGGTGTGGACTCACACTACTTGACTTTGAATTCTAACTCGTCAACTCATTAGCTGTTGACCTCAGGTAAGATGTGCTTACCTCATGTCTTTTCCTCATCTCTAAAATGGAGCTAATGTGGGAGGCCGAGGCAAGTGGATTGCTTGAGTTCATGCCAGCCTGAGCAACAGTAAGACCCTGTCTCTAAAAACATAGCTATGTGTTGTGGTGGATGCCTATAGTCCCAGCTACTTGGGAGGCTGAGGCAAGAGGATTGCCTGAGCCCAGGATTTTGAGGTTGTTGTGAGCTATGATGTCACGGCACTCTACCAAAGGCAACAGAGTAAGACTCTGTCTCAACAACAAAAATTCTTTTTTGGCAGTTTTTGGCTGGGGCCAGTTTGAACCCACCACCTCAGGTATATGGGGCCGGCACCCTACTCCTTTGAGCCACAGGCACCACCCTCAACAAAAAAATTTTCAAAATAAAATAAAACGGAGCTAATGGTAGTACCCACCCCAAAAGATTGTTATGAGGATTAAATGAGATAATCCTTGTAGAAAGTTTGGCTGAGTTCCTGTACTATTTATTTTCCTTTATAGCATTTTTCAAAATCATAACTGTAAAATTATTTTTGTTATTATTTGCTTAATATCTGTTTTCCTACATGCCATACAGAGGCTCTCTTGTTCTCCATTGTACCTGCAGTGCCTAGTATACTGCCTGCCATGTTGTAGGCTGTCTATAGATATTTCTTGGATGGACGGATGGGTGGATGGACTTATGACCTATTCCTGGGCTAGGTCCCATAAAAAATGCACCCCTTTGTCAGGAAATAATCAATATTATTAAAGAACACTGTGTAGGAATTTTTGGTTGTCATATTTCGAACTCACTAAGGGCTTAAAGTTAGAGCTTGTTAGGTACAACACTCAGCATCTTTCCTTTTCTGGGGCCTGTTCTCATGCAGGGCCTTGCGATGCTCATTGCCAGGCAGATTTATGAAACATCTCAACAGAGCTTACATTCCATATGGTACAATTTACACATTCCTGCTGGGGTCAAGGTGGGGAATGGCATGCGTGCTAATAGCTGCATTTCTCACATGAACTTTCATATAAACCCTTTTCCAGCTCATTTTACCCATGCATTATAAAATAGTTTTATAAACGATTTTTTCAAGGTCAAGAATGAATGCTTCCTACCATTTTTAGAGGAGTATAAGTCTAGAAAGGGCAACTGGAGGTTTCTTAGCTTGGGCCCTTCCACCAGCCGGAACTTT